AATTTTTTTATTCACAATCTCCTCATCACAGGCAGGCACAGCACTCAATTCAGCATGTGTTCGTGTTTGTGTGTGCTGTCTGCGTCACTCATAGAACGTGCCTATCGTGCACTATATTGAACATTTTTTCTATCGTTATCGAAGAAGGTGTACTGTCGATAAATGTCGATACAGTTTTATCGCCCAGGCCTAGTAGAAACAAACTGAACAGTTTGAAGCAACTAACAGTCATTTCCAAAGCTCAAGAAGGCAAGAAGGAACATGTTGTCACAACTGGATGCAATTTACAATAAAATAATATTCCGACCAATAAATTCATACATGATTTTGTGCCTGCAGTAGCTCTGAGATGTCAAAAATTGTAACTACTTATTTGTTAACTGAAGGTGATGCTACATGTTGGACACTTCCCATGTAGACATCCTTGTGTGGGCATTAGTCAGGGTGAACTAGAACATTTTAACACTGCATCCTATTGAGCAGTTTGTGCATCTATGCTGGCTACAGGACCTGCCCAGAAACCTTACCTTCACAGTCTTGTTTTCATTCATGTAAAATTAAAAATGTCTTCTACCCTGACTAAGGCCCATGGCAGCAATCTTTTTAACTTTTAAAGTGCTTAATTCATTTACATAATCAACAGAAGGAATGTGTTATGCTTTAATAGCTTGAGATATAACAATATACCCTGTAAAATTGTTCTGTTAAAGGTGCTAATATAGGTGTACTGCTTCATCATTGGTGGAGTGAAATATAAAAGAGCTTTATGATGATCACGTGAATGAGTCACATTATTATTTTTTTTTGAAGTAGACACATCTGTTTTATATCCATACGTCAACACAATTATTTACTTCAGAGCAATGTTTGATTTGTTTATTAGTCAGTTATGCATAGATCAAAATTCCACATAAATGATTTGACTGTAAGTCTGACATGCACTTTACTCAAGATTTTTCTGCATACATGTTTGAAAAATTACCCAGAAGTTACTGATAATAACTGAAACATCTCAAAGATGATCCAGTATTTTCATTGCTAACTTGGCCCACATCATCTTCCCAAATAAAACTATTAACTTTAGCAATTAACTATTCATTCGCTTGAGCATGCTGTGTGCCGTGAAGTGGCTAATGAAAGCAGGAGTGTTGATGGTTTTTGTGATTTTATTGTATGTAAATTGAGTTTTATAGAATGTATGTATAAACAGTTTGCCCTGAAGGGGCAACAGTAATGCATCATACTTGTATAACCTACAATTTAATAAGTATGTTTTTTTTTTTTACCTATAATCCCTACACTCTCTCTCAAACTTTTCTTAAACTGAAAACATTTAAATGATTAAAATGTGTTCCATTTTGTTACATATAATAATGTGAAAACACTGCAATGTCATTATTTTTTACATTATTTGTTATTATTTTTAATAATTGTTCAGAGGCAGCTTGAACAAGTTTCTTAATATACAGTTTACTTACATGACTTAAACACACAAATGTTAAAAATACTATATAAACAGTGAAAATGAACTTTGAAAGATGGTGATTGCAGTCAGTTGCAGGAAGTTATTATATTCCCAGTAAGATCTGGTGATCACACTCAAATCCTGTGCAAATGCCATAAGTATTGTTAAAATATTTTTTATTTATTTATTTTTATGTTATTATTTTTTTGCATATGTTTCAGTTTGTTGATATAAGTATTATAAAACCAATATATTGATGTTAATTTTCATTTTGAACCACATATCTAATAAAGCACTATCAAGAAGTGTGTTTGAGCCATTTCCGATGAGACATTTTGCAATAAAA